GCAATGTGTTCTCGATTCCTTGATTGTCTTGAAAAGCGGGATAATTTCCTCGATGACATTTGGTTTAGTGCAAAGCCCTATTTTCCACCCTGCAGGATATTATGCTAACTTAAAAAATGCTGCATAATGGGCACCCAACTCCCTATTGTCTATAAAACCACTTTATTCTGAATATATACATACATATACATATATATATGTGTGTGTGTGTGTGTACGTGGCTTTAAACACTCGTGGTTTAGCAAGTATTTGTGTGTGGGCGCCTTTGAACATTTCGGAAGAGGCGTTAAAAATGTGTCAAGTTCAAAGTAGGGCACGTAGAGCGCTGCTTCTAGGAATTCCAGAATGAAATCGTTAGTTTTTTTTTTAACTCTGTAAAAGAAATTAGATATCGTTTAAATGTTACAGGGATGGAAAATTAAATGTCAAAGAGAAAAGAAAGAAAAAAGTCAACCAATCTTTCCACGACTTCCTTTACAAGATTTTTTTTTAAATTGGTGAACTTTGTAATTTTGGGTGCTTTTTTCTTTTAACCATTTCCGTTTTCTAAATAAGTTTCTCCTTCGTTGATTTTATGTCAAACAATATCCTTTTGAATGAATTATATGTTCCTATTTACAGCATTCTAGAATATTTTTGTGTGCGAGATATTCAGAAAAAAGTTGTACAGTTGTTGTTTTTTTTAATCACCCTGTACTACTCCTCTGTATGATCTTACCCCATACAAGTACACACACACAAAATGATATTTCCTTCAATAATAACCCTGGCCCCACTGTGAACTCAAATCAAACTTGACTGTGATACACAACTGTATAATATAATTCATCACAATAATAATTGTTCACCATTATACACTGCGTGAAATAAAAGGTTTACCTCAGAAAACTGGATTTAACTTGTTCTTTGTTCAAGTTTTGAAAAAACCCACATTGGCATTGGTAGTCTAGTGGTTAGGCTTTCGGGCTTGCAACCGAAAGGTCATGGGTTTAAACCCTGTCATTGTGTTTTTGGGAAAAGCACTGTATTCGACTTTTCCTCTCATCAGTGGACAAGCCAAAACAAAAACCTTGCCAAACAATGTTCCAATGGAAGCACGGCCGGACAAATTCTGTACTTACGTCCATAACAAGGTTGTCCGAATTCGGCAAGGATTAGACTCAGAGAACAAGACAAGTAACATCACAATGTCTGAACCATTTAATGATGAACCTCTTGAAACGTTCAAGTCAGTTAGTCGTGAATTTGTGAAAGACACTGTCATGGCATGCCCACCTAAATCCTGTCATTTAGACCCAATGCCAACTGACTTATTGCACAGTCATATTGACGATGTTATTAATGTTATAACTTCAATTGTGAACACATCATTAAGCGAGGGTACAGTTCCACCATGCTTCAAAACAGCATCTATCTCACCTCTGATTAAAAAGCCTGGCCTTGACCCTAATGACCTCAAGAACTACCGTCCAGTATCAAACTTACCTCTTCTTTCCAACGTTTAGGAAAAAGTTGTTCTTGCACAACTTAGAGATCACCTCACAAAGAATAACTTGTTTGAGCCATTTCAGTCGGCATACAGAGAAAACCATAGTACTGAGACTGCTTTGCTCAGAATTGTCTCTGATCTACTCAATGCTGCAGATGAGGGTTTGATATCCATTCTCTCACTTTTAGACCTGTCTTCAGCATTTGATACTTTAGACCACAACATCATGTTGAGTCGTTTGTCGGATGTGTTCGGAATATCTGGCACCGTACTTGAATGGTTTCGATCTTACCTCAATGATAGATCATACTTTGTTGTTGTTGAGGGCATGCAATCCTGTCATCAATTGCTGGGATTTGGTGTGCTCCAGGGGTCAGTACTAGGACCTGTGCTGTACACTATGTACACCTTACCTCTTGGTCGTACCATCAGACACCATTCCATGCCCTACCATATGTACGCAGATGACACACAACTTTAGAAGTCAGCAAACCCAACAAAATTCAAACTCTGTTAAAAGACACCTCAGAATGTTTTGAATCTGTAAAAGCATGGATGACTGAAAATAAATTGAAATTAAATGATGACAAAACAGAAATCATGCCATGCTCAACCAGCTCAAAGATAAATGCTCTTGATGTAAAATGTCTCGCCATTGGCAAAGGTACTGTCGCTTTTTCAAACAAAGCAAAAAATTTAGGAGTAAACTTAGACAAAGACTTGTCCATGGAGACCCAACTTAACCCTCTATGTAAAATTTCATACTTAGAAATGAGAAGAATTGCTCACATAAGGAAATTTCTTCGCACTGATGCCACCAAAAAACTAGTGTTTGCCTTCATTTTGTCACGCATTGAATATTGCAATTCACTGTTCGCTGGCCTACCCGAAGAAAAAATTGCAAAACTCCAACGCATTCAAAACATTGCTGCCAGGCTAGTATTAAAGCAATCAAAACGTCATCATGTGACTCCCTTACTTAAAGAGCTCCATTGGCATCCACTGAAAGCGAGAATTGAATTTAAGTTAGCCCTACTATGCTTCAAAGGTCAAACTAACCAGTCTCCCACATACATTCAAGAACTCATTGTGCCATACACACAATCACGTGAACTAAGATCCAGTGGCTCTAGACTAATTTCAACACCTCGTGTGTCACTGAAGAAATATGGTGAGAGAGCTTTTTCTTTTTCTGGGCCAACAGTTTGGAACAATTTCCCTCATGATTTGAGAAGCGAAATAAAACTTGATACCTTCAAAAGGGGACTCAAAACACATCTATTTAAGAAATATTTTAATTAATGGACAATGCCTTTGCCTTTTTGTATGAGCATTTTTTATTGTCTGAAAGAATGTTGTTGTCAAAAATTGCGCACATGATGAATGTGTATGGTGTTAGTATGAATGCGTTTTTCATCTCCCTGGGCCCATTCCGTGGGGAAAGGCGGGATACAATTAATGCTCTTGTTATTATTATTATCATTCAAATGGGAATTTGTACCCGGATGTTGTCGGCAAGAAGAATTATGGCCTGTTCAAGAAGACACCAATTATTCAGTATTGAATATTGTGGACTGGGCGCAAGATGACTGCTAAACTGACTTCAAAATGCCTACCCCGTGCCAACAAAGACTACATGTACACTAACACATTTCCAGATAATTACATACTAAAAGGGGACGGATTAGTCATTTACGACTTAAGGCATACTAGACAATTCAAACTAGCTTCCCCAAACTAAGTTAAAATATGTCTTGATTTAGACGGCCTGTTTAAAAGCCAGAACACCAACCGTCAAAACCATGTCTTGGTATCAGTATTCACAGACTTTTAAAAAGCGTGCAAGACTAAACCTATTTGGAAAAAAAATCTCCATAGAAAGAAGCAAGGAAGCGTTGGCCGTAGTGACGTTTAAAATCTGGCAATCACTGTATCATGGATCGACAATCAAGGTTGGGTAACTCTTACAGAGCATTGTCAGCTATCCTAATCTAAATCTTTTTATGTGTGGGGAAAATGAAAGCCCCTTTCCAATCCAAGCCCTCCGACATAATTTACCTCCCCTTCTATTCTCCCAATCTCAGCTCTACCCCCGACCCAAGCCTCCTCCACTTTGCACCCCCTGTTGGTCAGACTCACCCCCACCCTCCACCACAGTGCTCTGGTCAGTGGTCAGTCCCCTCTCTGTCCGCCGACACCCAGTGTCCTCTACCTTCTCTCCGTAACAATTAGGAGGGGGGAGATACACATACATAAAAACCACCTAACAATATATTTTCTTTGTGCTTCCATCAGTACTTATGACAATGCTGTGTTCCTGTCTCTGGACAGTACTTACGACAATGCTGTGTTCCTGTCTCTGGACAGTACTTATGACAATGCCGTGTTCCTGTCTCTGGACAGTACTTATGACAATGCCGTGTTCCAGTCTCTGGAGCTATCACTACAAACTGTTGCATTGTTGTTGTGTTATCAATTGCATGTTTCCACTGCAGGAACCCCTTAGGACTCTCAACCGTTAAGTCGTGGGTTCGAATTCCGTTAGGGGTCTGACGTTGTGCTCTGTGGAAAGCCACTTCATATGTGTCTTCCTGACGTTTTCCATTTTGCAATGGGAATTATTTGTATTATTATTATTATTGTTATTATTATTATTATTATTATTATTATTATTATTATTACTATTATATTATTATTATTATTATTATTATTATTATTATTATTATTATTATTATTATTATTATTATTATTATTATTATTACTGTTCCTATTATTATTATTATTATTATTATTATTATTATTATTATTATTATTTTTGTCATTATCATTATTATTATTATTGTCATTGTTTTTGTTATTGTTATATTATTATTATTATTATTATTATTATTATTATTAATTATCTATTATTATTATTGTTATTATTATTATTATTATTATTATAATTATTATCATTACTGTTCCTATTACTATTATTATTATTACTATTATTATTATTATTATTATTATTATTATTTTTGTCATTATCATTATTATTATTATTGTTATTGTTTTTGTTATTGTTATATTATTATTATTATTATTATTATTATTATTATTATTATTATTATTATTATTAAAATCAACATTATCATTGTTATTATTATTGTTATTGTTATTGTTTTTGTTATAGTTATCATCATTTTATTTTATTTATCATTATTATTATTAGTATTATTATTATTTATTATCATTATTATTATTATTATTATTATTATTTTTATTATCATTATTATTATTATTATTATTATTATTTTTATTATCATTATCATTATCATTATTATTATTATTATTATTATTTTTATTATCATTATTACTATTAGTATTATAGTATTACTGCTAGTACTACAGTATAATGTTATAATTTTTTTCTCATTGGTTTTATCATTATAAACAACAAAAACACGCACTCACTATGGCACCCACATTTGCACACAGACAAGAAAATGAAAGCGCCCAGAACACACTACACTGCGAATAGGGGAGTTGTTTTTATTTCCAAAATGTACAGACATAAAAAAAAAAAAATCGAAACATAGGGTGAAGTCTTGTGAACGACACAGGCTTCAGAGCTGAGTTCCTGTAGAGATCTCTCTCAGCCCACGACGATGTCAGCCTGTCAGATATGAAAACAAAAGCATGAAAGGAACATATTTGTGAGGCAGCGTGGTGAAATCAGGCTCTCGTCAAAATACTCAAAGTGAAGAAACCTGCATTTTTCCGCAGTTTTATGAATTTTTATCAAATATTTGTTTTTTGGCTCAGCACCTTTCATACTCATCGAAGAACTCATTTCTGTGTGTTTTTTTCTGAAAAACATTGATTAAAGGCACAAAAAAGTAAATTTTCAGTTACCACGGACTCTTAAGCTAAGGAAATAACTAATCTTTGGCGGCCATTTTATCACTAATTTTACCTCTGAAAACCCAGCTCCTTCGAAATGCAAATATCTCGACTTGTATTCAAGATAAATGGATATTTTTTCCATCCAAATAAAGACAAGTGAATAAGCTTTAAGATGATACCAATACCTCTACATTCCCAAAAATTGGCGAGAGCCTGATTCCACAACGCTGCTTCACAATTATAGCTTGTTCAGTTTCGTTTGTCCTTGTTTAATGATGTACCAATATGCATGTAACTTTCATAACCACCCCCCCCCCTCTCTCTCTCTCTCTCTCTCTCTCTCTCTCTCTCTCTCTCTCTCTCTCTCTGTCTCTCTCTCTCTCTCTCTCTCTTTCTCTCTCTCTCTCTCTCTCTCTCTCACACACACACACACACACACGAACACACACACACACACACACAACCCCATAGTAGGCTAGCGACAAAACAAAAACATTTTTAAAATCTTGAGCCGGTAATTTCTTTATTTGGGCACAACATTGACCACCTCCCTTTTGGGTTCATACATGGGGTTACTACAATAATAATTGGTTTACAGCAACTTAGCTTACGTATTTCTTGATTTTGCGACACTGCCACCACTCTACGCTCATATTTAAGAGTAAGTAGTTCTATTTACCCCCCCCCCCCGGTCACTACCCCACCCCCGGGGCGCCTGTTAAACCTGGATAACTTTCGTCTGCCTGCGGTCAAAATGGGATAAAAACAAATCGGGAGTCTAAAAGTTACCACAGAATTTAAAAGCACTTGGAAAATAAGAAGAAAGGTTTCTGTCTTCGGCCTCTCGGTTGAAATTATAAGATATTATTTATCAACATTCAAAAAGCACGTTGCCGGTTTGAAGAAACCTTCCAATACAGCTAGATCTACCCATTGTTGAGGAGGAAGATTGTTTTCTTGGACAGTTGCAGCCTCGTATAGTGTATATTTTTTCATAAAGATCGGAAAGGGGGAAGTCGGAGTGGTTATTTGTACAGGTGATTGTCTTAGACAGTAGGCCGTTAGAGCAGATTCCGAGACTTAGAATGCTATTAAAATTTATTGCCTTATTGATTAACGTTTTTCTGCAAGCCTGTTGTGAGGCAGCGTGGTATAATCAGGCTCTCGTCAATTTTTGGGCACATAGAGATATTGGTATCATCGTAAAGCTTGTTTACTTGTCTTTATTGGATGAACAAAATATCTGTTTATTTGAAATACAAGTCGAGATATTTGAGAATGAAGGATATGGGGGTCACCTGTTTTCAGAGGTAAAATTAGTGAGAAAATGGCCGCTAAAGATTATTTATTTCCTTAGCTTAAGAGTCCGTGGTAACTGAAAATGTACATCTTATGTGCCTTTAATCAACGTTTTTCTGAAAAATCCACACAGAAATGAATTCTTTAATGGGCATGAAAGGTGTTGAGCCCAAAAAGCAAAAATTTGATAACATTTCACAAACCTGCGGAAAAATCCAAGTTTCTTCACTTTGACTATTTTGACGAGAGCCTGATTCCACCACACTGCCTTACGTATTGTCAGAGGAGGAAACAGATGCTTCAGGGGAGGGGAAAAAACCAAGACAACAGCAACAAAAAAACAACAACCCAAAACCAAACAACAAAGCAACAAGATCAATATCAATAAAGAACAAAACTGACCGAGATTTGGACAAGGACTTGTGCGTCACTGGAAAATGCAGGAAGTCCGTTGTCAGTTGCACAAACTGTAAAGTTTACGTCCCTTGAAGTCAAAGCAGAGACGACAGTTATCTGCCCTGTGTGGTCGTCAATGGCGAACTGCAGAGATGCCCCGTCGTCTTTCAAAGAATATGTGATCATTCCATTAGCCCCCATGTCAAAATCTGTCGCAAAGACCTGGGAGATAGAAGTTGATTGACTTGACGTGAGGGGGAGGTAGAGGTGTGTATATATCTCCCTATTTATTTTATGAACGATTCTTGAATGATTATGCAACATCATACTAATTATGAAATACGTTGAATTGTATATTCCAGCTTTCAGTTTAAGGCCATGAGTTGATAAAAAAAATTAGATCTACTTTTCCTATGAATAAAACGTAAAATGTGTAAAAGGGCATGTAAATCCTCCAATTCGGGAGAATACTGCCTGTTCATTTATAGTTAGATCAATAGATCGTTGAATAATCCATTTTTAGAAGTCAGCTCAATTCATTTTTGTCCCATGAGTAAAGAAACACAGTATGAAGACTTTTAGTGAGAAAGACTGTATTGTCTATGCATTGCTACTTGTGCTTGTAAAGTGCTCTAAGCTTGTGTTCTTCATTCGGGGTAGAGCACTCTATAGACGTCATATAATAAATTATTATTATGTTCATTATGTTTATAATTATTTCTTTGACGTTATTATTTATATTAGTATTAATATTTTTGTTCTTTTTCTTGTTCTTGTTTTTGTTCTTGTTTTTGTTCTTTTTCTTGTTCTTGTTCTTGTTCTTGTTCTTCTTGTTCTTCTTGTTCTTCTTCTTCTTCTTCTTCTTCTTCTTCTTCTTCTTCTTCTTCTTCTTCTTGAAACGTACCTTCATTCAACTTGATAAACCGAATTATACTGAACGTTTAAGACAAAAGCGTACTAACTTGTCCTATCCTTGTTCCAATCGGAGCACGATCCGACAGTACGAACATGTAGTTGGCAGCAGAGAATATGGGTGCGTTGTCGTTGACATCCTGAGAACAAGAAAGACAAAAATGTTTATATGTTCCAGAACTGCGTTCAGATCTAAGGTTTTACTGAGATGTTTTGACATGTCGAACAATTAAACAACTTTTACTGATCTATTTTTTATTTATTTATCAATGTATTTATTATTGTAATGTATGTTTTATAATGTTATTATTTTTTTAAAATATTTTTTTTTGGGGGGGGGGGGATTTTCAAGATATAGGCTTACTATAGTAGGTCTTGCCCGCGAAATGTAATAATGTGATATAAAGACAAGTATCTGCATGTGTTTTAGTGAGTCGCAAAGCATGATTTCACTTACTTACAAACAAGGTTGTATGCGCATCCATTCTACAGTAGAAGTCTCTGTGTCTAAATAAAGCACAAGGGAAAAAATATTTAAATAGAAAAGCACGGTGAAGCTTTGTTGGAATAAATGTGAGGCAGCGTGGTGGAATCAGGCTCTCGTCAATTTTTTGGCATGTAGAGTTATAGGTATCATCTTAAAGCTTGTTCCCTTGTGTTTATTTGGATGAAAAAAATGTCCATCTATCTTGAATACAAGTCGAGATAATTCCGAAAGAAGGAGGTCGGGATCACCTGTTTTCAAAGGTAAAATGAGTAAAAAATGACTTCCAAAGATTAGTTATTTTCTTAGCTTTAGAATCCGTGGTAACTGAAAATTTACATTTTTTGTGCCTTTAATTAACGTCTTTCAGAAAAATCCACACAGAACTGAGTTCTTTAATGGGCATGAAAGGTGTTGAGCCAAAAAAACAAAAAGTTCATGAACCAGCGAAAAAATACAAGTTTCTTCACTTCGATTATTTTGACGAGAGCCTGATTGCTCCTGGCTGCCTCACATATGTAATGTAAATGAAGGGTTTTGCAGCTCAACTTTCTATATTCATTTACATTTACTTCAAAAAATTGTAAGAAGTTGACAAAATCTATTCTCTGAAAACAGAAGTAGGAACGAAACGCAATTTTATAATGCTAAATAATTACGAGGAAAACAGTGTATTTTGATTTTTTAAAATTATTCTGACGACTTTTTAAATTACATTTGCATAAGATTATAGGATGGACGGGGCATATAGGAAAGGCCTGGCCATCTGGCGTACAGTGTATGCTGCAGTGGAACACTTCCAGTGTTCATGAATAGAAATGGTGCAATTACCCATTACCATTATCGATGAAAGTATTAATACTAATCAATCATTATTGTGATGATGATGATGATGATGATGATGATGATGATGATGATGATGATGATGATGATGATGATGATGATGATGATGATGATGATGATGGCGGCGATGATAATGATGATGCTCCTGCTCCTGCTGCTGCTGCTCCTGCTGTTTGTACTTTTGCTGCTGCTGCTTCTGCTGCTGCTGCTGCTGCTTCTACTGCTGCTGCTGCTGCTGCTGCTGTTGCTGCTGCTGCTGCTGATAATGATAATGATGATGATGATGATGATGATGATGATGATGATGATGATGATGATGATGCCGAACCGGTACTGACCACTATATTGATGTTTACTACTGCAGATGCAGATCTAGAAACAGGTCCTAAATCAGCTGCAGAGACGGTGAGGGTCACAGAATCTTGAACCTCACGGTCAAGAGCAGCTATGGAAGTTATCTGTCCAGTTATTGAGTCCACAGAAAACAGATGTGACGGGCCACTGTTCAGTATGGCGTACCTTAACATACCATTGGTACCCGAGTCCCTGTCCGTGGCTTTCACCTGCATTCATTCAAACCGTCATTGTAATACGTGAAATATAGACATTGTGAGGTGTGCGAGAATTTTAATATCTTGTTATAAAGTACAATATTTTTGTTTGTCAAGACAAAATTATTTTTTCGTGCGTGTGTGCGTGCCTCCTTGTATGTAAACATGCATGTGTGTGTGTGTGTATATATGTGTGTGTGTGTGTGTGTGTGTGTGTGTGTGTGTTTATGTGTGTGTGTGTGTGTGTGTGTGTGTGTTTGTGTACATGTTTGTATGTGTGTGTGTGTGTGAGAGAGAGAGAGAGTGTACGTGTACGTGTGTGTGTGTGTGTGTGTGTGTGTGTTTATTTACCATGCCTCAGTAAATTTCTTTGTGTTGAGATTCATCAAATGTTATAACTCATAATATCACATACATAGATTTGGGTTTTGCCATTGGTTTAAAGCCATTCACTTAAACAAGCAAGTGACTCAATATATGGGAAGTTGCCATAAAAAAGTCTCATCAAATCAGTACGTAGTTTAATTAATGCAATATTTGTATGCAGGCATTGAAAAGTTACAGTTTGTAGAACTGGTGTACGCCTACCGCTGTCTGTGGTATAGTGGATATGCGTTTCACTGTTGAACGCAGGACACTAATTTAGTTCGATTCCCGAGATGGGGGAATTTCTATCGAGTTCCTCAGTCTTTTTGCTTAGAAGTTGAATCCCTTTCGAACCAGGTAGGCAGTGTCAACCCGTCTTTTATGTAGTCTAAATGGTATAGGTGGGGGCAAAACAACACTATATTTACATTGAAAAAAGAATTGTGAGGCAGCGTGGTGGAATCAGGCTCTCGTCAAAATAATCAAAATGAAGAAACTTGTATTTTTCCGCTGGTTCGTGAATTTTTATCAAATTTTTGTTTTTTGGCTAAACACCTTTCATGCCCATTAAAGAACTAATTTCTGTGTGGATTTTCCCCGTTGATTAAAGGCACAAAAATGGAAATTTTTAGTTACCACGGACTCTTAAGCTAACGATATAACTAATCTTTGGAGGCCATTTTTTCACTAATTTTACCTCTCAAAATAGGTAAACCCCCACCTCCTTCTTTCGCACATATTTCGACTTGTATTCAAGATAAATGGATATTTGTTTCTCCCCAAAAAGACAAGTAAACAAGCTTTAAGATGATAGCAATAACTCTACACGCCCAAAAATTGACGAGAGTCTGATTCCACCACGCTGCCTCACAATTAATCATCATTGTTGGCCTGAAAGTAGCAACAACAGACTATTTAAAAGGGGTGCATGTTTAAAAAAAAAAAGATTCAATGTACTGCAGGTTAAAGAAAAGGATCGAGTATGTTTTTAAAAAGTAACAATTTTGTGAAATTATTTTTTATTGTTGTATTATCTTATACAATGCACTGAATAGCAAAAAGTCAAATAAAGGATACTATCAATAAGCTGCTCAACAGTTTTAAGCCAAGAAAGGAAATGCTTCCTCCAGACAGAAAAGTTTTATTTTTATTTTTTATTAAACCACTAGTGTACCAACAGTATGTATCTTTTCTTGATTGTAATATTACAGATGGTAGAGCTTACAAAGTACAAAGCTTGTTGTTGAGGGGCGGGGCACAGGGATATACATGTAACAAATTATTATGTATTTATAACTTACCAGTCCAATAATTGATCCTATTGGCAAGTTTTCCTGCACTGCAAACGTGTAATTTGCCTGGGAGAATATGGGTCCTTCGTCGTTGATATCCTGGAAACGGCCAAGAAAAATGTGAGGTATCGTGTTGAAATCTGGCATTTGTTAAAATAATGTTCAAGTTCTTATATGTTTGAGTAAAGAGAGCACATCGACACAATAATAGTTACTTTGTGTGAGGAAAAATTGAAACAGACACGCCTAAATGGCCGGCGGAGTGAAAGTGAAGAAGAAGAAGAAGAAGAAGAAGAAGAAGAAGAAGAAGAAGAAGAAGAAGA